CCCAGCAAGGTCGAGGCTGCGGTGGCCGGGAGCAGCCACTGCACTCCAGTCTGGGCGACAGAGTGAGACTCCAACTCAAAAAAAAAAAAGGATCACAAGAGTTTTCAAAGGAATCTTTCCTTACAAAATTTACATTTCTTTACTTCTAAACACTGTATAATCTTTGTGGTTAGTATTCCCACACACTTTTAAAACATTTTCTAAAATAGGCAGTATGAAATGTTTATCTATATTAAACTTTATTTCAGTTGTAATTTAAATAAAACATTTTCCTTGGGCAATAGATACAATATTCCTTACAAATAAAATCCTGTTACTATAGATATAAATAAATATAGATATAAATAAGTATTTTACTCTTTCATTATTTCACAAATCTCTTTTGAGAACAAAATTCTATAAAATATAAAGCAGAAGTTTGCATGTGCTAATTTACTTTTGCTTCAAAAACCTCATTTCACAAGGTGGAAACAGAGATAATGCAGTCTGTAGTATTCTCCTATTTAAATTTTAATAATGAGAATTGAAATCACAGATTTGCAACAGTAGCTTTAATATAGGCATTTATTTTGCCTATTCTTCATTATGGAACACAGCTTCCCTAATGTTGACATATAACTATAGTAAGGTAATCAAATTAAGGAACTTAACACTGATATGATACTATGAAAACATGTATAAGCCTTATCTAAACTTTTAGTTTCTCTAATAATCCACTATTTTTCTTCCACCCTAAGGAATGTCTGTGAGAATTAACACTACAACCTCTGAATACAGAAAAGTCTTCAGAAAGTGTTGGAATAAGCAACGGCTTTATTTATTTATAGAGAATTAGTCTCAGCATCCAATATCCACTGAAATTTCTAGAAGACATGCTCAGCAGAAGTACAAGTTCACAATAAAGTCAAGCAACATAAATATAAAACAATTCTAACCATGATAATAGTTCTCTGTTCTTTCTCCCCTAGCACTACTTAACTGATGAACTTTTAAAATACCTTTCCATTTCTAGACTGTCCAGAGCAAAATCAGCAGCTGACAATTTTCCATATACTTTCTCCTTCCACTGCCGTCCGTGTTGACTACATACCACTGTTGTAACAAACTGCCTTCAGAACCTGTTACATGCACTCATTAATTTTCCAAATACAGCAAATCAGTTTGCAAGAGCAATTGGTTATAAATGCAAAAGCCATAATAAACTTAGAAGCCAATAATATCATTATATAAGTGTTTGTGTAAGATGCTTAATTTGCCATTATTTAAGAATCTTCTAATATATTTCCATTGATTTAATAAATGTGCTTTTTAATAAAAACTCTAATTCTGTATATTGCACTTTAAGTGTCTTTAATATTGACTTTTCATCCTATCACGTGTGTGTCTTAGATTCTACAGATGAACGGGAAGACTGTACATTATATCTTTCCTCATGCAAGGATAAAAATAACAAGAGACTCTAAGGATCATACAGTTTCAGGTAAAGCAAATCAAATAATCTAGTCCTTTTTATTCTAATGTCAGATTGACTTACAAACAGATATTTGAGTTTCAGTTTAGCTGATTCATTAAATGTTTTTAAAAAACATCACTTTTTATATCAAAAATTGTGTTTTGGGAAATGGAATAATATCCAGGCTATACATTTGAACATGAAGGACATTGATGACATGGTCATTATTATGAGGAGCTACTAAATGGTACATACATATTTACATCATTCTTTTCATTGACTGCATTGCTTAAATGTGCAGGATATTATAATGCTCCACAATTACTGCTAAATAATTACTGTTAAGTAATGTGGTCACTGGTTTTCAATTATAAAACTTTCTTATGGAGGAAGTAAAAAAATAATCTTGAATTCTTCTCAGGAATGATTTCCCATATATTGACTCATTTTGAACACATTTATGCTGGGTTTTCTTTTGTAAGTGTTCTTTTATAAATCAAAGTTGATGATGGAATTTTTTAACTATTTTGAAATAATTTGGGGTTTCCAAAAAATAATATAGGCATTTATTTTGCCTATTCTTCATTATGGAACACAGCTTCCCTAATGTTGACATATAACTATAGTAAGGTAATCAAATTAAGGAACTTAACACTGATATGATACTATGAAAACATGTATAAGCCTTATCTAAACTTTTAGTTTCTCTAATAATCCACTATTTTTTTTCTGATCCAGGATCTAATCTAGGATCCCATACTGCATTTAATTGTTATGACTCCTGCATTTCCTCAGCTCTGATAGTTCCTCAGTTTTTCTTTGTCTTTTATGACTTAGAAACTGTCTGAAAGATAAATGACAATTTTATATAATAAATAATATTCCATTATTTAAATCAATGAGATGAAATAGAAATTTTTCCAAAATTAATGAAATTTCAAAAGATGAATATTACCTATATTTTTGCTCAAGTATATTCTTCGAATTTCATGGACACTATATATCAACAGAAAATATTTAAAAATATATACACATATTTGTGTATGTGTATTTGTATAGGCAGTAGCTCTAATATGGTATATATAGACGGATTTTTTTAAAGCATTGATATAACAAAGAACAAAAAGACATATTCCTCCAATGTAGTTAATACTGTTTCTTACAGATTTTAGGCTATGGAACACATGAATGTGGAAGAGGTTTTGCTTTTAGCAATGTCCTCTTTACTTCCATAGACAATAATGATTTGATGAGGAGTATAATGTTTTACTTTTAAGAATTGGTAGTTTTTCTTTCACCAAAAACAGACAATTCTAAATTTCATAGTTTTATTGTCATTCAAAATGTATTTTAAGTACTAATGAAAATTCCAAAGGTGAATCTTAAAATCCAGGAGCTCATTTTATAGAATTACTTACTTAAAACTATTTCAGTCTCCTCCAGCTCACAGAGCATAACAACATACTTTCTAATAATGTCAGAATTATTTTTCTCATGATGTACAATAGAAATGTTCAAATCATTTTTAAAAAATCATCAGGACCCTGTATCAATATACGTTTTCTAACTGTTTTATTATTTTTATGCTCTATTGATAATAATTATCAACGTTTTTATTTATCTTTTTCAACACATTATTTTTATTATTTTCTTTTACTTCAATAAGAAAAAGGCTAACAAAAATAAGAAGAATAACAAAAATAAGTGCTACGGATTTCTTTTATAACTATTCTGGTCTCACATAAATTCAGTTTGCACTGTATATAGATTTTGCTGAATAAGAATAAACAATTATTATTTTGAACAATAAATTTGCTAGTAATGTACTATATCGCCTCTTTACATGCCCCTTTTTCTTTTGAGATCTACCTAAAAAAAATACTAAAAATAGTTTCCTTGTTATATTTACCCTGTTTTGATTACTACTGAATTAATTTTTCATGTGTCATTAGGAAAACTGGTCCCATGCTAAATAAATGTTTTGAAACAGTGTGCATTGTTTTCAAGTATATCTTCAGTACTTTAAATTGCTTGAAATTCATGTATTTACAAGAGTAGAACCAGAAATGACCATCTTTGATAAACAATGCCTAGATGCTTTAAAGCAGTGGCAGAGAAACCTTGACAGAAAAAGATTTACCCTCCTGGCTAGTCCCTATGTCATTTGCTGACCAACCAAAATCCTAGTTTGATCAAGATATTAAGGATTTATTGTTATTTCTTAGCAATAATTGCCATTTATATGTTAATATTTTTATTGAGTATATACAGGGGGTGCTATATATATATATATTTTTAAAGTATGACAATCACTCAAAAGATGGCATTAATCAAATGAATGCTAATGACACCATGCAATAGTCAGAACAAAGAAAATGGTAGGGGCATGGCTGAGCAAACATCATACTACACATTGCTACCATAATTCAACTTCAAAAAAGTAATACACAGATAGCATCTCTTAAAATGCATATAATTTTTTGGCATTCTCACATATATTTTAAATTAACAAATAAAATTGTATTTTTCATGTATAGCATGTTTTGAAGTATATATACATTATAGAATGACTATAACTAATTAACATATGCATTATCTCGCATAGTTATCATTTTTGTGATGAGAACACCCACTTTCTTAGAATTTTTCAATAATACACTATATTGTTAATAGTAACTATTGTGCATATCTTTTAGAAATGCACATTAAAATATATACATGAAATGATATTATGTCTGAAATTTACTTCAAAATTAATTAAGTGTGGAAAGTAGTGGAGTAATAGATGAAACAAAATTGACAATGATTTGGAGATCATTGAAGCTAGAAGATAAACTATACTGGGTTTTGTTATAGTCTTGTCATTACTTTTCTATTTGTACAAAATTTTATAATTACTGTTTGTTCCTCACATTCACAGCAAAACAGCAGTGTCCAAAAGCTTCATCAACAGTGAAAAAGTTAGCAAAACTAATGATTTAACTGCCTTTGTGAGACAAAGATGTCAGCAAGGAAATAGTGAGGGATAAAATATAGTGTAGCTATTCTTTCAAAGTGGAAAATGACCTTTAGTGAATTTTCATTTTGGTTACGTAAACCTATTGATAGTAAAAGTACAATGAACTTTTTATAACTAACCTTAATAGATAGTTCTAGGTGAGTGTAGCATTAAAAATTTTATGTAAAACAGAAATATTTTGCAAATAAAAAATTATTTGTATATGTTGGAAACAAAAATAATTTCAAAATAGACAAAAATATTGGTTTTCTACAGTTTGTCCTGTATGGTTCTCAAAATATGGTCAATGGGACTCTCACTCTCACTATCCCCACCTTTTTTTTTTTGAGTTGGAGTCTCACTTCTTTGCCCAAGCTGGAGTGTAGTAGTACGCATGCTCATGGCTACTCCAGCGTCACCAGTGATCCTTTCGCTTCAGCCTTTTGAGTAGCCAGAACTACAGACACACGCTACCACGCCGGGCTATTTTTTATTTTATTGTAGAGACGAGGTCTCGCCAAGTTGCCCAGGCTGGTCTCAAACTCGCGGGCTCAGGCAATCCACTCACCTCTCCCTCCCAAAGTGCTGGGATTACAGGCTGAGCCACCGAGGTCGGACATCCATTATTTTTTATAAGGATATATAATTTATTTTAACATGGAATGGGCTTATGATTACTTTAAACACATTAATTAGTATTGTTAATTATCAGTCTTAATTTATAATACAGAAAATATACATAGTTGTAACCCATACCAAAGCTCTTTTATATTAGAGTAATATTAGAGTATAAATATCTCCCAAAATCAAAAAGCCCAAAAGCCACTGCTGTAAAGATGTTGTACAACATAGAATATATTTTGTAAATGTTTCTATAACTCATGGTAGATGCATTTTAAAATGTTTAGTTTTTGTTACTCATTTGTTTAACACCCATGGTCTTACATAAATTGTGTTAGGTGCTAGGTTAATGGAATTAATGCAACAAAGACCCTAATGTTTAACATACTCATGATTCAGTAGGAGAACCTGAAATGCAAGTAATTATTACTATAAAATTTTAAGAACAACCAAGGCAACAATCAAGGGATTTATAACTTTATTTTTCATACTCATACCTATGCATGAATAAGTAAATACACTCAAACATATATGTTTGTCATATTTCATAATATTGTAATGTATGCTGAGAGAAATATATGCATACAATCTTCTATTAAATGGTCCATAACCTTTTGGAAAATACAGCCTTTAACTTTTAACCTGTAAACTTCAAAGATATATTTATAGGTGTTTATCAACAACTGTACAATGTATCTACAGGACACAATGGTCACTATCTGGGGAGTGGGCTACCTGAGACCCATTCCACAGCACTACACAATATGTCCATTTAACAAAACATATGTGTATCCTTGAATCTAAAATAAAAAATAAATATATATTTTTAAAATCGTACAATAGTTTTGAGAGACTTTATTCACGAAAACACAGGGCAGCAGAGTGGAAAGAATAGGTAATTACTTTTAGAATTTTAAAGACCTGCATTGGAATTCAATTCTAACACTTATTTAAATTTGGAGAATAAGTTTGTTTATCTGTAAAATGAGATGACCCCCATGTAGTTCATATAATTGCAAGTGAGCCTAACACAAAATCCTGTGCTTACTGTATACCCAACAAATGTTATTCTTCTTCTCTTAAAGAGAAATGAACAGAAAAAAAATGTAATGCTAAAAACATGAGAGTCTCCTTTTTTTTTTTTTTTTTAAATTGAGCACTCCATCTTATGGCTCCAGAAACACAGCTGTTTGAAACAAGTTAAAGAAATTCTTCTGATTTTAAGAATCAGAAAAAGCATTTGCTATGTACAGTTCCATAATGGACTGGCTACATCTGCAAGGCTAGAAAGACTAATTAGCAATTATAATAGTGAAGAACATTTAAAATGCTGTTTAGTTTGAAAAGATAACAGTATTCTTAGGAAATAGTGGCTCATTTTCTATTCTGCCTTAGTCACCATCTTTAT